CCGTTTTAGACCATGAGTTAACCCATGAAATTGTTGTCACTTACGTGGCGTAAAGATCCATGTTTTATCAGACGTTTTCCGATAAGCGCCACCGGGTTTCACGGCATTTTTCACGCGGGCTATTGTTTGCGTGCCTGAAGATATGCGCGCTTTGATCTAAAAGGAAAGAAAGAGAGCGATAGGCGTGACTCATCGGCATGTTATCGCGTCCGCGGAAGCCGGACGCACGGATTCCTCCGCTATCTGTGTGTGTGTGTGTGTGCGTGTGTGTGTGTGTGTGTGTGTGCGTGTGTGTGTGTGTGTGTGTATCTCGTAGCTTAATCCGCTATTATTACTATCTAAAGACAATGGTTGTTTCAACGATATCGTTAATTGATTTTCGCGCACACTCACGCTTTATACCGTCGTCGCAAAAGAAAAAGAATGAAAAAAGGTTATTTCCGGTCGAAACCAGACGAACAACACGCGCGAAAATAAACGCTTTCCTCGCCGCGGTAGATACGCAATAGCTCTGTCCTTTACGCTGCAAATCAAGTGCAGAGTTTGCCGCAAGCCCACTCGCTCGCGCGATTATTCTTATCTACGAAGTTAGTCATCGCGTTTTAATATAATCGCGCGATCGTCACGTTCGCCACCTTGAATCATTTTAGACCGCTGTGTTGGAGGCGCATTCGCGCGATCCAGTTTCGCGACGGAAAATGCTCACACGTACACACAGCATCCGACGCACGCAGAAAATAAGTCACCATCGGCACGGCAGAGAAAATTCGCGCGAACGCGACGCGACGCAATAACTCTGCCGCAGCGTCAAGTCACGTCGTTGTTTTTTGTTCAATGGTGACTACTGTTACTACTGTCGACACGATGACTGCTTACGCCGCTGGCGGCGTAACGTGGTCACATCAACATTCGCTGCATTATTCCCTGCAATTGCGCTTTGCACGCGACGATCGACTTGAATTTTCATCGCTATTATCTAAAACTTCATGCGATTATCTCAAGTTTGACGCTGAAAATTATACATACACTGTCTCTAATTACTTTAAACTGAGTGAAAATTTTAGAATCTACGATTATCTCAAATCTGACGCGATTATCTGAAGTGTGACGCGATTATCTCAAGTTTGACACTGTAAATTATACATACAGTATCTCTGCAATTACTTTAAACTGTGTGAAAGTTCTAAAATTTACGATCAAATAACAAAACAAGAGCAAGCCAATGAGTAATGATAATTGCGTTTGATTCTTATTTGCGTCTTTTAATTTCTTAATCACTCGATAAGTGCGCTTTTCCTTGTTATAATATATAAGCTTGAACTTATTGTGCAGTTACCGCTGAGATACGATTATGCATCAACTCGTCAATCGATTCTTTATCAGTCCGATTGTCATCCAGTCGATTCTGCTGCCACGATTGTCGCGTCTCTGATTTTCGAACGACGCAAACAAAGTCACTTCTGTCTGTGAGTTGGTATTTTTTCGGTTTCCCACGCGATGGGACTTAATGAGTGACCGAGAACAATTAATCATCGGGCTATTAAACGCTCGGCAATATACCGAGCGCACATCGCCTCCTCTCTTTCCGTAAGAGCGGTTACGCATACGCGCGCATGCATCGGCCGATCTTGACGCGTGAAGCTCGCGAATCGGCCCGTATCCGCGAGATGCGGATACACCGCGTTTAATATCCGCGCGTCGCTCATCCGCGGACAAAGGCAACGATGTTCATATTTCACGGACCAAGGGGTTACCAATAAAGGGCTAACCGCCCGCCACGCGTCCTTTTGTGGCCGGCTGCCCATTGTTTCTTCCGCTGGCGACGTCTGATCGGATGGAACTCGCGCTCGCCGGTCAATACGTAAAAGTCTATTAGGTGGAGCAAAGTACAGAGAAAAAGAAAAAGAGAGAGAGGGAACGTGTCGGTGGAAAAAATATCGCGCCACGTGCGCTCGCTTTACACACGTGAGCGCGACGATTAAGGAACAGCCACGAGGTGCATATCTTTTCACGGCTGAGTTGCGAAGCCGCGCGCAAACCATTTGCACACATAACGATCGCGCGAAATAAAGCGAATCTGTTCGATTGACATTCGCGTTCACTTTCGACCTTCCCGTTGCAGTGAGTATCTAGCCGATCCTAAACACGCGACGAATGGCCTCTCCGGCACTTGAGCCCTCCGCGACACTTCAGCCCTGGAAGCACCGAGTTTTTCACCCCGGCGGGGCGAAAAATTCTATCGACGCCGCACCTGTTTCCCGGGCGCATTCCCGCGCGCGAAAATATGACACGCGTGTATAAACGCGCGAGAAGCTCGACAACCGAACGAGAATCGTCGGTCAATCGTCGAGGCGGGAGGAAAAGGGCGAAACGGCGCGGCGGAACGACGACGAGAGGGGCGACTAACACGCACAGTGTGCAGTGTCGTCGAACGTCCGGCGAGCGGGGGTGGGTTCAAACTGGTACGCGAATGTATGCAAATAGAAATGTAATCTGGTGTCAGCGGCGCGACCAATAATGTCAATCAAACGCACTGGTGGCCGAAAGCCAACAATGGGGAATTGGCGAGCGAGTATATGGCCCAGAGCGAATATGCAGTATGTAAATGTTGTCATATCAATGGGGATCTGCATATGGATGCACGCCAGATATACCCGCGTACTCTCTCTCTCTCTCTCTCTTTCTCGTTCTCTCCCCGCTGACACGCGCGCGCTTTGGCGACATGTGCACTCGGTTTAACTTCGGCCACGCCACCCCCGCGCTCTTTCATAGTTTCCATGCACCCTCCGCGAGATTTTCGAGAATTGGCGCGGAATCACGAACGCGTCTTTCATTTAGCCGAACGCGACCGTTATCGCGTTGCCTACACTTACTCCGTGAATTTATCGAGGTGCTAAACGGCGGAATTGTGACTAGAGAGAGAAAGAGAGAGGGACACGGAAATTTATGATGAGTCATTTGCGATTTTATCGTCGACATCTTTGGAGTAGCCAAAGAATCGAATGGAGTGGTTGGATTTAAGGAGAGATATTTAGGTCAGTTGAGAAGAATTCGATTCTTCGATCAAACTTTATTTGGTTGCACTTGATAGCAAAACTGAATCATCGTCCTTACCTGCGATTCTTCGCCAACGCATTCGGACACAGTTTCACTCGGAAGATGATCAGCGGGTCAACGAGGAGAGCGGGAAATGTGATTGAATTTTTCGCAGCATATAAATTATATTAATTCTTTTAATCTTATATTTAGGTCTCGGGCTGTTCACGTTAATGCCGGCTTCAACGCGTGAGAGCCGTGAATTCAGCTCGTCGCAACGCCGTGCCGGCACGGTGTCTCTCAATCGTCGTGTACGCACGCGGATGCAATGTGATATTTTTTTTTTTTTTTTTT